ATCGATTCTACAGTTAAAGCAGTACATTGCAGAATTCAGCTTTTATTCAGTTTCAATTCAAAAGTTTCTCAGTAATTTTAATTATTTCTATTTCTGCATGTTCCAGATGGTCAAAGAAAATTTGAATTCCCAAATAAATTGGGAAACATTGTTGGCTAGTGGAGTGCCAATCAGCTTTGACTTCAACATCATGGATCATGTACCTGATGGTAATTACACCCATGTTCTTGTGGATACCTCTGATTCTTCTTCACTTTAAAATTTTCCGCAAAGTCCACCTTTTCAAGGTCCAGTTGTTGAACTTACCAAACATACCTCTTCTAGTCTGACTCCACAAGACTCGATTTTTCAAGCCCCTGTTGTTGAGCCTGCCAAACCTAGTTCTTCTATTTTACAAACTTTTCCTCTATTGTCCCAAAATTTTGTTCAAATTGACTCTCCTAAATTGAAGAAGAAAAAAAAATAAACGTATCAAAAAAAGACAAATGAAAGAAATGGCGGCAGATGCAGGGTCCAATAAATCATCGAAGCCAAATCCATGCTGTAATTTATTTATTTATTTATAATTCATGTACATAAATGCCACACGTTGTGGCTATAATACTTGTCACCCCCCCCCCTAAATATTACACATTAATATAATATAGGTACGTAAGAACATAGGGAAGCATTAAGAATATTACAAAATTTTACAAAATAAAATAAAAGGTATAGTAAATTACAGTTAAATATTATTTAAAAAAATCATTCAAGGAGTACAAAGCCTCGCCAACTAGTAAGGCTTTTAGACCAGCCATAAACTCTCTTACTTCCCATTTCTGAAGAGCTTTTCTCAGGTTCAAGGGAAGGTTGTCACAAGTCTGATGGCAGTATGAGACACAGACTGTTCAGCAACCTTCAGGCGAACAATTTCATAATTGATGAAAGGGTTTCTAATGTTCTTTATCATGTCCTTACGAATCAGGCCGGTGTCAATGGCAAATTTTAGGCTGTCTAGAATAAAAATAGATGGAAGAGTTAAAAGTTGGCACTTTATGAATAGGGGTTTACAGTGGGAATTAAATGGTTTGTTAAATATCAGTCTTAGACATTTTTTCTGTTCAATAAATAATTGCCCTGAGCAGTGGTTGAGACCCCACAAAACTAGGCCATACCTTAAATGTGAGATTATGTTAGCATGATAGTACATTAAACATGATGGCAGAGATAAAACTTTAGACAAGTTTCTGAGTGCCCATTTCATAGAGTTAATTTTAGTAGTGACTTTCAGTACATGCGGTGACCAGTTAAGGGTTTCATCTATTATAATACCCAATGAGTTAACCTGGGTAAGAGCTTCAGATTTACTGCTCCTGTCATCATTAGTTTGACTTCTATTTTGGTGGGAAGTCTTATAATCAATTCTCTGAGTTTTCTCTTGATTAATCATAAGTCCATTAACAGCGCACCAGGATGGCACCTCATGCTCAGCCGCAGCACAGTCATTATCAAGATTTGGGCCAGATATAATGAATGTTGTATCGTCAGCAAATAAGTATGTGAGGAATTCCGCCGCACCAGGCATGTCATCAACAAAAATAATAAATAATAAAGGTCCAAGGATAGATCCTTGGGGAACACCAGCTGACAGCCCATATACGATTGATAGGACGGGACCAAAAGTTGAGTCAATTTTCACTCTCTGTTTTCTATTTCTTAAATATGATGCTGTAAGGTCGATGGCGCTGGAGTGAAGATAGTAACTAAGTTTTTTAAGCAGTATCTTATAGTTAATGAGGTCAAATGCCTTTGCAAAATCGAAGTGTAGACTGGCAACCGGGATCCCTTGATCAAGTGCTTTGTAAATGCATTCTGTTAACTTACGAATGGCTTGAATGGTCGACTTTTTTCTACCGAATCCGAATTGATTACAATGTAAAAACTGCCCTTGCTCAAAAAACCTTACTAGTTATAATAAAACTTACTGTTATAAAAATTGTAAAAGAATTCTTGAAGAAGATAGGAAAATAATTTTTGTTCAATACCATGGTCTCATAGACTATAACTCACAGAAGAATTGGTTGTTAAGTCGTATGAAGCAGGTCCCTCTGAAAAGGCATAGAAAGAAGGGTGGTGAGTAGGGTGTGCCATTTATGGCCTTAAAAAAAAAAAATTGCGAAATCCAACAGAGATACTTGCCAAAAACTGCTTAGGAATAGACTCAGATTTCCGCAAAGAACATCAGTCTACTTGGAGCCACAATGAAGCTTATAAGAAAGGGCTTGATATTGTTAAGAACTTCCAGGTAACGAATGATCATGCAGAACGTGGCGTTGCTCTCATACAAAAGTATATATCAATGATCAAACATGAGGATCAGTTACAAAATTTATTGCACATGATTGAAAGAAACCGTAAAGAATTACCAAAGGTTTCCGAATCCTCTCTTGCTCAATACTTCCAAAAATAATTGAAGTTATATTTTTCCCCATTTTCAAGATACTCACTAGACCGTCATAGTTAAATGTAACTATGACGGAATTTTTGTAATTTCATAATAAATATGTACATACATCCTTAACGGTTATTTTCGTCATTTTTTATGTTAAAATAATTTACTTTAAGTCGAGCGATGGTCGAGTAGTGGTTTGACTACAAAATGCTAAAATCGCTGATTTTTTGCATTTTGAGAGCCAAAAACGAGGGCTTTATGAACATTGTGGGTCCAAATTGATATTTTATTCTTAAAATATGCTATCAGAGGTCTCATTATCTACATTTGCGACTTTCTAGCTCGATTGCATTTTCAAAGAAAAAATCTGCGAAATTGCTAAATCTGGTAAGTTGAGAAATCAGTAAAAACCACTCAAGTGCTGAGGGGGACCACTTAGCCCTTAGCTACGACTCTGAGATTTTTTTTGGATTTTTTTCTAACCATGAGACAAGTTTTTGGCAAGTATCTCTGTTGGATTTTGCAATTTTTTTTTTTTAGGCCCAAAATGGGACACCCTAGTGGTGAGTCAAGCCGCTCCTTTAATACAGAATATAAATTTAACATTAATGGCATTGAACAAATTGTTTGTCTTAAATTTTTATGTGTCACCTTAGATGTCAGCCTAATGGCCTTCCGCCACGCTCTTAACACAAGTTCCACTGGCAATCACGCCAAAATGGATGCCAGAGGTAAACATACACCTCCCAACAAAGCTGAAACTGATCGGATTAGGTATGCCAAACAATTCATTGACAGTATTCCGGCAGTGCCATCACATTACTGCAGAAAAAACGTAAAAAAGCTCTATCTGCCATCAGATATTGGAAACATTACCAATTTGTATAGGTTGTATAAATTAAATTGTGTAAAAAATGATGTATACCTATTTCAGGTAGGGTTTTCTGCAACGTTTTTAGTCAATTTAATTTAGAAGAATGTCATGTACCCAAAAAAGACAAGCGTGAAATTTCACCTTCCTGTCTGAAGGTATTATTTGAAGAGACAGCCTGTGGAAGGGCGTATTATAAAATTTTTTATAAAATTATTTAATGATAAACTAAAATTTTTTTATTCAAACTATGATTCTCTGACTTATTCTACAACTGAAACTCAATTATACAGTAACAATAACTTCGTATAGTGCATTTTATCTTTAGTTCCTTACTGTGTTCAATCTTTTTTTTCTAAATGTGAGAGGAATAATTTTTATTTTTTGATTTTGGTACTTGCATATTTATAATTTTTGCTGCATAAAATGCAATCTGCCTTGTGATAACGTTTCTGGCTGTTAATTAAATCATACGTTCTTCTTTCTACTCCTAATAATAAATGTATTTCTGTACAACTATAGTATGTGAAGTTTTTAGTTTTACTGCAAGCCCTCTTTGCCCTCAGTAAGCTTCTAACTTTCAAAGGTCTTAACAATTTGATTGAAACAAGAAAAGGAGAAGAAGAAAACAATTTTCAATCTGTTTTCTTTGAAATGTGAGATATTTGGAGAGCTAGGCAAAAGTTCAGATTTTGAAAACAAAAAATAAATAAACCAAAAGAAAGAAAAAGGTTTAAAGATAGTCGTATTAGATGCTCTAATGAAGCTAGTCGCAGTGTGACACTTTTTACAGTTGAACATCAAAGCATCATTTTTAGGCTGCATAATTTATGGTCAAAATTTATTTCGACCATTTGGTGCCATGAAATTTAGAAACTCAGACTCATTTTTCTCAAATGAATAAAAACTGCTTCTTTGTACTCTGACCTCCAAGGATCAATGACTAGAATCCAAGGGTCCTTAAAAAACATGAGTCCCTTCATTTCAGTGGAAAAAAAAACTTTGAGAATACGAATACGCTAGAACACGGGTGGAAAATTAGCATTGAGAGCGTTATTTCTCCATAAAATATTGAACATTTTTAAAGATGCCTCCCCCCAAATCCACCGATTTTGAAAGATGATTAGCTAGTCTCTAATTTTTTGGCGGCACATGCTAAAGTGCATATCATTTTCTATGCTGCTCTTATAACCCCAGATCTCTTGGTTCGTATAATGTATTTCCGAATCGCCTTTTTAGAGGTTGGTGGGACCTTTCTGGAAATAGGTCCGGGAAAGAGGACCATCATTTCTCGTTTCATATATCTTGATAGTGTTTCATGCCAATTTTCATGAAGTTTGGTGGGTTGAATTTTTTTTTCAATCGCATTTATAACTCCGGATCTCTTGGCCGGAAAGGGCTGGCAAGGGCCGGAACGAGCTGGTAATGGCTTGCATTGGCTGGCATGGGTTAGCAGGGCTGGCAAGGTCTGGCAAGTTGTGGCTTGGGTTGGCAAGGTTTCGTATAGGCTAGAAAGGGCTGGCAAGGTCTAACAAACCTTAGGAAGGTCCGGCTAGGGCTGGCTCAATTCAAACTTCGCGCTACTCGAGGTCCCACTAGTACGTCATCAACATGGCGCCGAAATGGGTGATTGTACAATGGATTGTACCAACCTCCTTTTAATCAACCCTGTCCTAACCTCAAACCGCCCATATAATAAACATTGATAGTAGATAGCGGAACCAACAATAACAAAAAAAAAACTCCCGGTGGTAAGGTGGTTTGATGATAAAAAGTATCTGATAGTAATTTTGTGGATGATCTCCGGCCAGTTTTTTTACCCTCAAATTATTCCTCCGCAGTTCTTTTTCATTTAATTCCTTTTCTCATCTTTTAAGTACAGATCATTAACTTTATTCACGTACACATCTCTCCTTACTCTTCCCTATTCACCATATGCACCATGACAGATCAAGGTAAGAAACACTATTTCCTCTCACATTCACATTTATGCATCCTTCAAAACTGATCTGTTCCCATGATAAAAGAATGGAGAATCAACTTTATGATGAAACCATTTATTCAATATTCCATATTTGCTGTAAACGTCATAACACCACAAGGTCACTAAATAGCCCTCTTTAGCCTTTGTGGTGCATGTGGAATTCATAAATCCAACTTGACACAAGTCAAGTCATAGGCACCAATTAAGGGGCTTGGACGACTAGGCGCATGAGTTCAGTTATTGTAAAAATTGAGAAATCTATGATTTCCAGTAAAACAAGTCATAATGCACATTTTATTTGCTCCCAAAGTCCAATTTGTAAGCATCCGAAAGTTAGTCTGAACTTTCTTTCCTCCGCAAGGTTCCATGCAATTTCAAAACCAAACACCTATTTTTCAAAAGAGCAAAAACTGCACTTACGCACCTTGTCCTCTGAGCCCCTCATTTCATAATTTTGTGAAAATTTTGACGAGAATACAAGCATGTTGTGTGGTCGTACCATGTCTCCTCTTGGCAAGTTTTCAGTTTTGGTTTTTTTGTCATTGAACATCGGTGGACTTTTGTTTTCAAATTTGCAGATTCAACTTCCCCCTCTGAAAATGGAGTGGAGATCTCCACAAATGGCGCCCACCAACCATCATCGTCCAAAGAAACCACACCGGGAACCCCTTTTGCAAAACGAACGCTGAGACCACGGAACATTGCCACCATTCAAGCTGACTCTGACCGCAGGAAGAAGAAGAACTCCAAACTAGAAAAGAGGCGGATGACTGAGTGCTTGGAAACCATTTACGAGGAGCCAGTGACCAATAAGAAAGGTGAACTCCTCCTGACAGGAAGGAAATTGAAAAGGTCCATAACATTCAATCCAGGGAGTGGGGAGGAGATAAGCAAAGGAAAAATCAAGAAACGCAGAGACAGAATTAAAAAGAAATTGGGAAATAATTTCAAATTAAAAATGAAAAAGCTAAATCAAGTTAAGTCCATGAACATGAGTGATGTCAGGTGTAGACTGAATCTACTAGACATTGATGAATCTTTGTAACCTAGATTTGTTTCTAAAAGAGTATTTTACACTCTTGTCATGGGTCTTGGAATTTGCCATTTAACTGAGGTAACAAATTGTTGTGATTTTTGCAAGAAATATTTAAGCGTAAAAATGATCCAAAAATTAAGGATGCAAAGGTCCCTGATTAAGTAGGTACTACAACATTCTGAAAGGGTGCTTTTCTGCAAACGGTCAAAATCTCTCTATTGAGTTGTGGCGAAAATTATGAGTGGGATTGTCGCCCTGTTAGGGTACTCGAAGTGATAAGAAGATACTTTAAAGGCTATAATCATGACAACCCTGCTATTACGTAGCAAGTGTGCATTATTGTATTGTTTACTACTGTGAGTATGTCTGTGTACTATTGTGTATTAGTGTGAAGTCTCAGCAAAAAGGATGCGATTAACTTCCATTATGAACACCCTACAATTAATCAATTAGTGGGCTTTCAGAGCTTCATGTGAGTATGGAGGAGGAATTTGAGGTTGGGTTTTGGACGGAAAGACACTATTATTTCTCTCTCAAAATTATAAAAAAATGTACTGTAGGACCGCAAATTCTATGACCTAATAGGAGCATTATTCATGTTAGAAGAATAATATTCTTTTTAATTTGAGTGCCTGCTTACGAAGATTTGAGTTTGACTTGAATGACCCATTTACTTTAGTAGCTTTTTTTCAATTTATTGTATGGACACCTCTGGTAGACTTGAATCAGTTGAGTTGGCAGTTGCTTACTTCCAGTTTAAACATGGCAGTGCCTCTGTCGTCCAATAGCGATCAAGATGAGACAGAGGGCAGTGCACTCAGACATGTAAATCAAGACAATGGCAGCTAAAGATTGAAAGCAATTAACTTTCAACAAATTTGATAGGAGTTCCATAATGTTTTTCTGAAACCAAAAGCAACTCCATAAATTCACTCAGTTTTAAAATTTATTTTACATACCTTAAGAGTATCAGTAATCATCCATAGACTTAAAAATTAACCAGTGGTTTTGAAAGAAAAAGCATATTTTCTGTGGCCATTTTCCTTAAGCGTACAAATGATTGCAAAAAAAAAAAAAAAAAAAACTTGTGTTGTTTCTAAACATATCAAGGAGTAGGAGGTAGATGTTCATATAGAATTGCACAAAGTGCATAACCACATATCTCCATTTGTGGTGTTGCAGACCTCCTGTCAAACTTTATTGTTTTCTTGGAAAGCGCGTCAACCTGATTTCTCCTTTGTAACCAATGATGTCCATTATCAAAAGCTTTTCAAAAACTGGATGTCTCGACAGTTGGTCTATTCTTAATTTATTCTGTCCTCTGAATACTCACAGTAAAAACTTGTCAGTTTGATTTCTCAAATGTAATTTATGGTCTGATGCCTTGTAATTTCATCTCTCCTAATCTTTATCTTTGTAACTACCTATCTTTGCTCTATCTTTTTGTTTCTTTTCCAATTTGAATGTCATATCTAAGTAGACCTTCCTGTTCTATGTTAATTAATTTAGTGCGTTTTGTCTCAATGTTTTTTAAAACTTTTTCATCAACTCAGGATTGGTTTACTTCTAGGCTGTGAGCTCAGCCCTACAAATGAATCATTGAAGTTTTTTTTTTTTTTTTTTTCTAAAACGTTTGGAGGTAAAGGTAAAGCCAAAAATCGAACCAAAAATGTTTCGCAAGAGAAGGAAAATATTGTAACTTTCATTTTCTATCAGAATTATCAAATATCAAGTGTAATACTCAATTAGTTCATCCTTAAGTTTGTATAGAATTGCTCTGATAACAATGATCGGTGAAGTTAGAAACTTCCATCTTGTCAGATAGCTTTTCAGTTTTTTTTTTAAAATCAAACTTCAACAGCAAGAGGAACGTGGGAACTTTGGGATATAGCCTCTTGTTTAGTTAAATGGGCATAGCTGGAGTCAACCTGCAATCTGCAGACATTGCCTGGGTGAAGGACAAATTGCTGTTCTATTTTTTATTTTTTTAACGAAGGGATAAAGTTAAGGTATATATTTGTGATAAATTCCTTAACTCAGTATTGTTGAACCCTTTCATAAAAAATTAAATGTACGTTTATCAAGTTTATAATTTTGTATATATTGTATTTTCGTACGGAACGATGTAAATAAAAACGATACTCGGTACCTTCTTGAAATCAAGCCTCAGAATTTTTCTTTTTCAATACACGATAAATCATGAGAAAAAGTATGTAAGTAACAGTTGTATTATCTACAGCAGCATATCAACCCTAGAAGTATTTAGAGCAAGGCACCTACTAAGCAATATCCAGTGAGATAAAGAACATCGGACTGCATTTTGCAATAAGGAACTTCAATATGTTGCTCATTGGTGAAAACACTTATGTGCTTAGGAAAACTACAGGTATATACATTTTCTCTAAAGTGAACAATTGCAAAATTCAGTCCATCTATCTAGCCTGTATACTTTAAGAAGCAGGATTGTAGAATGGTTCTGGGGGTCAGCTCAATAAACTTTTACTTTTTAAGATTGCTAATTTGAACTGAGTTCATCAGAAAGGAACCACCCACATAAAGTTGAAACTGAGAAAAAGAGGTTTGAAGTTTCATTCCTGCATAAGGCTCAATATAGAAAATAAACACTAATTTCTTTTTTTCGACTTTCAGTTTTTGATGGGAGAAAATATACGGCTAAAGGAACTCGAAAACTTTCAACTCAATTTTTTCACAAATTTGGGATGGTTCCTATCTGATAAACTCAGTCCATTTGTCCTTTTACGAAAAGTTAGAGCCTCTGGCGAAGACATCGGTACCAATTGCTGTTTTATGCGTTATGCCATTGTGTCTTTATTGGTTTCAATTGCACTATATAGCTAAAAAAAAAAAAAAAAAAAAAAAAAAAAAAAAAAAAAAAAAAAAAAAAGGAGAAAACACTACATTCATTGAAAAGTATCCTAATGCACAGGTTTGACTTCTTTCAAATGATCTGCACCAAAGAAATTTCCTTACCTTTGACCATTGAAATTAAAGAAATAATTTAAAAGGCTAGCAAAAATTCTTCTTATTGGAGAAACAGCCCAATTTTTCGGTATTTTAGTTGAAAGTAATATCCAAATAATGTAAATTATAAAATCTGTTTACTTTTACATCACTATTATTAGTATTCGCAAATTATCTCAGCTCATCCTCGATGGGTTAATATAGGAAAAACCAAATCGATGCCTACATCAGTCTCACCCGCAGCGACAGTGAGCGTCAATTCGAATTTCCCGCTCGTTGGGAGGTAACTACCCAGAGTCCTCAGTGTGTAGTACGAACTAAGTCCGTTAGGTATCGTCAGTATCGCTTTCTCGGTAGCATGGCTGGCTGAAAAAAGCCGGAGATTTTCTGCGTATACAGCCTGTGTAATTCGTTCTTTGTGTGAGTGATGCCGAGCTTGTGTGAAAGAAAAGACGAAAAGCTGTTGTTTTGTATTTTCATCAATGTAATCAAAGTAAATTTAATGTCAAGTAACCCTAAATTTAACAATTTTACCCTTGCAAGTGTTGTAAATAGCACGTGGATGAGTGTTTTTATAAATATCATCGAGTTCCTGAGCCATTTTACTATTAACTCTATTTATTAGCGCTTTTTCCACCCTTTTAAGTGTGTTTTCACTTTGCTCCTAGGGACAGGTCTTAACCTAAAATTATATTTGCTCATCCTTATTTATTAATCTACATATTTTTTACGCTTAAGTCATCCTCATTTTAAATCTATTTTTTTAATTAAGTAACATTGCTGGTATGCCCTTCTCCATTATTTACATGCAATGCAACACATCAGCCTAGGCAGCGTTTCGTGCAACTCAACCGATGCTACAGACGAAACCTTTTGATTATTCTCAATGGCACTTTTATTAACTCAATTTCTCAAATGGAGCAATGGCATTATCAAAATCCAAAGGTAAGCGTACCATAACCTGACTAAATCTGTTCTTGCAGGGGGCACTTCCCGTATAGTAGAACGCTTCCTGGGAGAGAATTAGATAGCGTTTCACTTTTATGTGTAAGACAGATTAATCCTTATCATAGCGTATGTGCTTATTAAAACAGCTTTTATTCTTCTCCATCCTCTTTCTTGGAAACAAGCATTGCAGGAAGCGAATCTTTTTAAACACAGACTCTCCGAGAGTGTACTGATCGAATTCATGTTCTTTTACCTTCATCAAGTGATATTAGTTTAATTGATGTTAAGAACTGAATGCAATTCCTCTTATTTTTATGTTGCATAACTTAGTTAAGTAAGTATCCTTATTCTGCTGAAATACACCATTGATTGGCATAGCACATCAACTTACCCCATGTTGAGTTATGATTACCTGTTGCCTGTTTAGCGTCCTGACAGTTGTAACCCTCTCCTAGAGTTTTGAATCAAGAAATTCTACACCTTAGAATTTTCGCAAGTAAAATTCGCTTCTTGATAGGCTCTTCATTGCCACAACCTTCTCTCTGTTGAAACACTTGTAAATTCTAAGATCACTGTGGAGGTTTGACGTCTATATCATTAGAGAACAGATCACATTGTCTCATTTTCAGCTGTGCCGAAAATTGTACCATTCATTTAGGCTCCATCTAGTGTGCACTAATAATCTCTTGGAATTTGCAGTCGTAAAATCCACACTACATCAACGGTGAAACTATATTTTTCTACATTTTTTAAACTTTTAGCTTTGCAGATCTCCTTTCGTGGTTTTTATTTTTTGGGAATGATTGATTATAATTGATAAACAAATTTCATGTCGTTTTTCTTTGCCTCCTCAGAATATTCTTAGAAATTGTTGTTCTGTTGAAAATCTGAGGTATCTAATTGCGGAGCAGAAGAAGTGGAGATTTTAAAACAAGTAACATCATCAAGGTACTTAATTTTGTAGTTTCACCGCTGATATTTAATCAAGAGGATGTTTAGTTATACTTTCTGTTGAGGACCATAACTTACTTTAATAACTGGAGCTTCTATGCTCTGTTGCTTTTTGCCTATTTTTACATCAGCGTCTACAATTCAATCATGTACTTCAGAATGATATCTCTTTTTTTTTTTGAAACTTTTCCTCCAACCTTTTTTTATTTTGTCCTCTCTGAAAATTAAAGAAAGCAATTTATCTTTTTCAGAGCTTTAACTTACAAGCCTGATCAGTAATCTAATGGCATTAAGATGTCAAGATCTCATAGCAAAGGGGACTTCACCGAGGATCCAAACGACAACTCCGCCGGCCAAGAGGAGGAAGATGCTGTCTACAAAGCGAAAACATTCTGGTCTGGTCAGGGCGATAATGATTTAACTGTCCTTCCAAATGACACCCTTGAAACAAAAGCTGCCAATTTTTCAAAACCAGGCTGCATCTATGTCATTAATCGACGCACTGGTGCTCAAGGTTTTGTTCCAAGTAAGCCCCTGCCCTCTTTCTTTTCTCCTCTAATTCTAATCACAGGGGTGCAGATTGTTCCAAGCCTCCACAACCTTCGAGAGGCCTCCGCAATTTTCTGTGACGCGCTAGGTTTTTGCCAAAAAGTCAACACAGCTGTCATCAAAATCTAATGAAATTTTCAAGAAGCGCTCCAAGTAATAGTAATACCAATGCAAATTTAAAACACGCCAAGAAAAACAGATTTTAAAAAGAAGCAAAGACAGACTCTAGAAAATATGAGTTATAGGGTAGGTGGGGGTAAGAGTACGCATTTTTTGGTTTTTCTTATATTTCTGTGACCGAATCGACTTTCAAGGCGGGAAAAGTGGCCAGGCACCCACTGCAAGCCCTCGCGCACAAGTGCCCTGCGTTGTCTGAATTGAGAAATCAAATCCATGGCCGTGGCGAATTTTTTAAAAAAATTTGAAAATGCGTACTTTTTTTTTTTAAAAACATCTCCTGGGTTCCAAATTGCTGTTACACCCCAAAAACGACCAAAACTGGTCTCTGAGGGTTCCAGTAGTGCCTAACCACTTTTACTGTGGAAAAAAATAAATAATTCAGTCATTACAAGCTCCCAAATAATTTTCGAAGGCAACTTTTTTTTAAACAGGAAAAGAACAAAGTTTAAATGTCCAAATTGAACAAAGGAACCTAAAAATGTATTAAGATACTGAGATGCCTACATCTTCTATGTTGAAGTTCCTATACACCTCCCCCACCATCACGCTCCACTTTTGGGCGCGTACTTTTGCCCCATTCTGGCTGCGTACTCTTGCCCCATTTGTAAGCATTGGACAACATAAACTAAAACTTTGGGCCCAAGGCCCAAGGTGTGAAAACAACTACGTATTATTAAAGCCAACACTATAACTCTTTGATATGGTGCCTGTCCGATTTTTTCCATCAACTATTCTACTCACAACAGACAATACAAATACTAAAAAAAAATCGATCTTTTTCGCATGAAAAGTGAATTTACCTCACATTTCCGTCAAAACACATCCGCTTCTCACAAAACTTCGTCAACAGATGAAACTCAATGTTGCCAACAACCAACACCCGGTGCCATCATAAATTCAAACAAAATGCGCGAAAAAAGTGCGGTGCGTTCTCTTACCCCGTGCGTACTCTTACCCCCACCTATTCTAGAAATGTTTATCTGGGATGCGGAGTGAGACAGGAAAAAAACAGCAAGTATTGTTCTTTTTGCATGTGTCAGAGACTGCAAACTTCATGCGGTTCGAAATTGACCATTGTGAATGTGTCTCAAGATTCCTAAATTGTTTAATTTTTGTCGTTTAGAGTCCCTCGTGAAGAAGGATTCGTTCAGTACTCACACTGCCAGAGTTGCAGAAACAAGCTACCATGATGAAAAGCCCAGCGGTGGAAGTGAACGTCGCGTCAGGTTTCAGTCACCACTCAAAGCCAGCTTGGAAGAAGTCGGTAAAACGCTCACTGCCAACAGGGACCCAGAGCCATCTCGGACAAATGCACAGCTGGAAAACCGGGCCGAATCCAAAGACAGCAAAATTGAAGACAAGAACACCGGACATACCAAATTAAATGATACGTACCATAAAATGGATTACTTAAATCTTTGCAATACCGGTTGGAAAAGCCAGAGTCCTAAGTCGGGACTCATGAGCAGGATGGAACATTCGGCCTACGTCGATGTCAGCAAGAATGTCATTACGAAAGGGTTACCCTCTTTCTCCAAAATCAAGCTGCCTTCTTCACTTACACGTAAGTTATTCTATCTTCTATTCATTATTTATTTAATGCGTCCTGGAAAATTACATTCCCGTTCACACCTAAGCTTAGGAATGGAACTATCCAACGTTGGCTCTCTTCAAAATACAGCACCATCATTCTGAACATGAGGAAGACTTTTTCAATTTTCTCGAGATGTCTTTGGTCAAAGGCTGATTTAGGAAAGAGGCCAGTAGCAATTTTGTTGGTTGATAATATTTTTTTTTTTTTTCTGAGCCCTGGTTTTTTATGACTTTTACGCGTTTTGGAGTTACATTTTTTGTTCCTTTTTCTCGTACTTCTGGACACAATTTTATGGCCTGTAGATTGGGATGAAAAGTATTTAATCAGAGAAAGTCGGTAAAATCTAGGATATGGCAGCCGGACCAGTACATGGATCAAAGTAAGGTGTTATTTAGAGTACCTTTATAGGCAGAGTATGGCCATTCGTATCTTTTAACTACAGGAAAACTGTGTCGCTATTTGATTGGTCAACGAGTTTTTAGGCTTTATGATGCTCTCACGGCTGTAAATAAACAAACAAGATGGCGACCCGCCGTAAAATTGATAAGAAACTAAAATTTGACAAAAGTTTCAATCATGCGGCAGTAACATTTTAAAGTAGCATAACTACGAATAACACATGAAAACACTGTTAAATCTTCTTTCGCCTTTATCACAGAAGCATGTAAGATGCGCTTAACCTCAAATTTTGTTAATTTACGGCCGTAAGAACATCAAGTCAGCCTATTTTCTCGCGACCAATAAAAAACTGGCACAGAAATGGCCATTCTATGTCTAGGAAGGTACTTAAGTGTTATTGAGATTATTCAGGGTTTGCAGGAGAATTGATTGGGCTGAACTAGGATCAATCAAGAAAATTTGAGAATAACAAGCAATAATTCCATTTTTTTTCAGGGGGAGAGCAATCTAGCGAATACGTAGAGCATTGTCCATCGGCTAAGTATTCAGCAGATATTGCTCAGCCATTCAAATCAAAATCAGGCACAGACACGAAGTTTTACCCGAGCGGTCCACCTCCAGCAACGGCCAACTCTAGTTTAACCAAAAACTTACCGTACCGTAATGTTCAGCAAATAGGTATCCCGATCACCAATGCAGAACCTACTTCTGCTTATTTGCCGCATGCTGTTCCCAATTATTACACAGATCAACCTCATCAAGCGCATGATAAACTTAGTAAGTATTTTTTCCCTTTATAATCATTATTATTATTTGATCTGATTTGTTGCCTTTGGCTGTACCAAATGTGAAGCAGCTACTCTTGTCTGCAATTAAAACAGTTTTGGCTGAGTAAAGTTTGGTCTTCTTTCGCCAAATCTGTTTACATGCAATTGTGGAGTTTCTCAGCGTATTAAACCATCTACTTTAACCCATTGACTTAAACTGACCGCTCTCAGCTGTTCGCGCTGCGCTGGGCCAGATCTGAAAAGATGGTTCAAAGCCGTACGTTGATTGTTTGCGTTATTCCCGCAATTCTCCAGTAGACTGCGTTTTCATCAATGTTTATATGAGTAGTGTGACCACCCTATTACTTATTGTGTACTGTAATTTCGTGTTATGTTATGGTATTTTCATATTATTTTGCGTTTGAACATGAAAGAACCTTAAAATTTTCTGATTTTCGTGACTTTCACAGCAGTCAACCACAACAAGAAAATCATTTTGTTCAAAGTTTTCACCATTTTTCTCAAACGTTGTATTGTGAATGCTTATTGTGTCAGTTTTTACCCTCAGAGAAGGAATTTTTGGATTATTTGATTGTGTTCAAAGTTACTGATTTTTGCCAAATTAAATCGTAATTCCTGGCCAGATGGGGTCAAATTAAATCATAAGTCAAAGGGTTAAGTCCATTGATTTCATCCATTCTGAAAAGAATCTTGGAAAGAAAGAATTTTAGAAAACAATGAGCTGTGATTTTTATAAGCTTATCTAGTCAAATTTTTGAAGAGAAAAATGTTTGTCTAATTAATTGATCCGAATCTTTGGGCTTTGAATATTTGACAAATAGCTTTCTCTAAGAATAAATCCATATCAAATAGTTAATTTTTGTGGGAATAGAAGGCACCAAGTTCTGCTTTAGTCTGTCAATCTTGAATATAGAGTATGGCTCATTACAAGACTTAAAATAGCTTTACCTAAATTTTTTAAGTCACCAACTTCAAACAGTATTAATTCCACTCTAGTTTGACATTTTCAAACTGTTCTCATGCCAAAATGTATGCATAACATTTCTGACAGCAGTTGTAGTACCTAAATTCTGAGTTTTGGGCCAAAAAAATCCCTTTCCTTATGGTATGCATTTTGTGTTGATCGTTTTTTATAATGAGGTTGAGTTTAAGTACCAACAAAATGAATGTCAGCTCAGGCCATACATATGCCTCAATGGGATGTAAGGAAACGAAAGGAATGAAAGAAACTCAATGCAGCACAGCAGTGCATAAAAATAGGGATGAATCATTAGTTGTTTTTTCGTTCTATTTACCTTTTTTTTCTTTTTTTAGAAGTTCCAGTTGCAGCACCTGGAAGTGTTAACTGTAACGTTTCGCATGAACATCAATTGACAGGAGCCTACTTCATAACTCCAATTTTATGCCGTCACTGTAAGTTATCGAATTTCAAACTTTTCCTACAATTCGAGGAAATATAATCCAAATCAATTTGATTTATACCATCATCAACAGCACTAAAATTTAAGTTGTTGAGGCATTGGTATTTTGTCGATGCAGGAAAATTTCAAAATATTAAAAAATGGCACTTTTCATCTGTCATTCATCAATGAAGATTAAAATTTAAGATTAGATACTGTTTTTCCCCTTTATTATGCCATATTCAGCACGTTTGAAGATTATCAATTATTCTCACAATTTAGGACCTCAAAACTGAATTTTTTAATAATATCTTCCTAAATGACCACACCCATAATACCAAGAAATTCGGTGCTAGCCGAACTTTGATATTTCTTGAGATGGTGCCTCCTAGGGCCTCCTAAGTGCATTTAGCTTTAAAATTTGAACTTGATATGTGCCAATCTGGGGGCTGAAAAGTGAATTTTGCCCCCCTTATATGCGTTTTCTGTTGGAGGTATAGGATTGTTGCTATATGTGAACTGGTGACACTGTGCTGTACCTTGTTATCATTGTAAGGAATATGATTCTTTTCATCTGTCTCATTCTCACAGCCTATGAGGAAACCAAAGATCTCCTCAATCACCGATAAGATGGTGCAAAGTTTGTACTTGATATTGCGTGCACAATTGCTGAAAAGTTCATCTTTCAGCTCCTTTTTTCTCGAGATTGGCGTATAAAATATTCAATTTGTGCTCAGGAGGAACGAGTTATCAAAGAGAGTTAAAATATAGCCAGTGCTAAACTTCTTAGTATCATGTGTGCAGTTCTTTTGAGTAGTTTACTGTTCGAATTTGCCATCTGATTTCCAATCAATGAAAGGTCCAGTAAATATCATGGCACCATTGAGGGATCAGTAGGGTCCAATTTTAGATCATCTTTACTCTTCTGCAGGAGACCAATATTACTTCTCTCCAGTTTATCCTTGAATTTCTAGTAGAATGTACACTTATACTAAAGGAAAACCAACTGGGAAATCATTTTTCAGAATTCCATCTCTGAACTGAGAAATCATCGCATGGCTTCTGATGTTTGTTATCACTTTCATATTTGAAAAAATGAAGGGATAACATTGGCAAACCACATTCCTTTTTTTAAGACAAAATAAAAGAAAATTGCCTTAATTGTCTCATAGAATTCTTTTAGAGGTATTGTGCAGTTCAGTCTCATTTTAAGGCACTATGCAAAGCAAAAGAAATTTACAGCTGCTAAATTTTAATAGAGCTCCTGTGTTCTAAATGTTCATAAAATTTTACAGCTAAATATTCTGAGAAAACAAGGAAAATTGCCTCAGAAGGTAATTTTCTGAAACAGTAACTGAAAGGATATTATCCTTCATAACTTGCATAACTGACTTAAATCGTTTTCAAAACACGTAGCACCATAACTTTTGCCTCAGTAAATTTTAAATTGATGGTGTTACAATATTTGCCTCTGATTTTAATACATACATAATAATAACAAAATTAATAAAAACCTCTGAAGAAGCATGCCACAACAACCATTAGTGATTTTCAGTCTTAGCTAGCTTAAATAATATTCACCACCTCACAATACTCGCGAATAATGTTCAATTTTATTTTCTCTTCCAGGTAACGATTACATCTGGGGTTGTGGAATAGTTGGCCATCGATGTGAAAGTAAGTTTACTAAATTTTTATTTTTATTTCACTATTCTTCATCACCTATTTCCATCAACTGAATGGCAAAGAGTAATCAGACACAATTTTACTCAGAAGGGAAGAATAGTTAAATCTATAAACATGATATTCAGGCAGAAAATAGATTCATAGCCTGGAGATTCAAGGTATGATTTGGCACAGAAAGAACTATAGAGTTTTGTGAAATTGAATTCTATTGAAGACTACCAACAGTCACCTTGAACCCATTTTTGTCGCGCGGTTAAACAAGATGGAAATGAAAATAAGAAAATTTGTTTGGAAAATAGTGGGGAAAACCTGATTTGAGAGTAGACCAGGCGAACTAATTTTAATTTTTTTGCTTTTTTGAGTGGTAAAGTTGCTAAACCCAGGGCATTCCCTTATCAATATTCAGAGATGATCATTTTGTAAGCATTACCTTCATGAAATCGTCACCTTCCGGCCAAAGGATCACAAGGGCCATGTAACGTTTCAAAATTTCCGCCACCATTTTAATTTTTTTACAGAGAAGTAGAAACGAAGCTGTCCGAAAATTTCATTGAATTTTCTTTGTGCTGTTGATAAAATTCAGTGGAATTTTCAAGCAGATATAACCAAAAATTTCTTGTTAAAAAAACAAAATGGCGGCGAAAATTTCGAAACGTCGCATGGCGCTGTTGGTACTTTGGCCGGAATGTGACAAAATCTCTGAGCACTGTGCGGGCGTTTTGCTAAAGATTAAAAGAAGAGGAGCCTATTGAAATTTTATCAATTTTGACCCCTGGACGATTCCTGTAAGAGGTCTGCCATAGCCCTGGTCACCCTGTCAATATTTTAGTTAATACCTGAGGATTCTACTGTTGATTGAACTTAAAATTTTGGGCCATCATTCTATCTCCATCAGTATTTGTCAACCATTGTTACAACATTTCTGGTTCATATTGACGATGTGAGGTTGAGATTTTAACAAAAATACTGATTGTGTGACCATGCCTTTCCCCTGTGTGGGATGTATCAATCCTTCAAGCACTAACTTGCTTTCACACGTGAACGTCTTTCAAACATGTTTCTTTTTAGAATCTCGCAACTCAAAATTAAGTCTTGAATTTTTTTTTTTCCAAGCCCTTTTTCAAGATAAGGAACAATATTAATCAATACGAGTCAAATTCATCTCAAAGTTTTTTTTTTATTTCTGAAAATTTTAAATTCCACAGTTTTTGCCCTAATATTCAAGTTATCATTTCCTTTATATCCTACGCATCTATTTAATTTTTCAGCCCTGACCGTATTCTCCTTGAAATCACAATTACGACACTTATTTTTTCCTCTGAAATACCATCTAATTTGACTGCGTTTTGCGAAAACAAATCAAGAACGCTGCAATGCTGAGAGTAGGCCACAAACTGACTAAGTAAACTAACTGAAAGCAGGCAAATGGAATGTTCAAGGTTATCTTCCTTGTCTAGCATTCCTTTCGGATCTTGATTGTCTTTTTTTTTGCTCTTTCCCCTAGAAAATACCGTTTTCAACTTTCTAATGAACTTATTAGTTTTTCCATGAAATTTTACACGAGTGATACCATACTACAACCTTGCAAAAGTCCTGGCCACTGCTTTCTTTATCAGTGACAGTGACTGTTTAAAAGCACTTTTCGCAAGTTCTCAAAACTGTCGAAATTTTTGAAGAAGGCTACAACTTTTTTTTTCTTTATGTATGGTTGAATTCACATTTAAACATCTTTCATTGACTACCTAACATACACATATGCAAGATTTGTGTAACACTTTTGAACATTTTTACTGTTTTTCAAAACCACAGAAGGCCCCGTAAAAGTTTTTAATTACTTCTCCTCCTCAGTTTCACCTCTCGTAATAGTTAATCCATTGCCAGAGATGCAGAACTCCATGAGACGTCATAAAATGAAATTTCATGGAATTTTTTAAAAATCCAGCAGTGGACTTGGTATGCCATGAAACATATACTCAAAAGAAAATGTTAATCTTGAAATTTTGGGCCGAATATCATGAATCAAATTTCAAAGTTTCTCATAGAATTCTCGAATAGTACTGCGGGTTGCATACGCAGCCCTTGCAAAATCGTTGAAACTCTCGGAAAATTGAAACATGACTTTTCAGCCGGATGAATCTCATTTTGCATCTGTCAGGGTTGCCACATTCAGGGAAAACCGGAAAATGTCAGGGAAAATTTGTCAAATCACCTTCATTTGCTTTCTAGAATGGGTTCGAGGTTTCGAACAACAAATTTTGTCTGAAAACTCATTTCAATTATGCCTTTATAACCATCCGTCACATCTTCAATTGTCAGATAATTTCGCCAAAATGTGTCAGGGAAATCAGGGAAATCTCAGGGAATTTTATTTTCTAAATTGTGTGGAAACCAATCTCTTCGCAATACAATTCCGATAATACGCTGCGACTGGAAGGCTTAAAAATTGGCCGTGTCCTCCCGGTTGGCGCGGCGCGGCGCCGATTGGGCCGGACCCGGGATCCCGGCCGGCGAGACCGCGTGCGGGCACCGCGAGGAGGCGTGAGCCGGCCATTATTACCTTTATCCGCGATCACCTGACCGCGGAGCCGCCGTCTTGCCAGATCCCCAGTCCCCGAGTGAAACCCTCACGTTCCCCCCCGGAGAAGCGGAGAATTACTCGCCGGAGCGGCAACACCGGGCCCAGGATTTCGGTAGTAGTGGGGTGCCGCGAAGAGCGCCGACGCACAGTGGATCCAGTCAATCAGAGAGGTCGGATACGAATTTTCTGACCAAAACTGCAAATTTTCATGTTCATTTCGTCAAATTTCATTCTATTTGGGGAGTTTCTTGAGGAAAACTTCACGAGAAAGCCAATGGAACCACTTTTAGAACTCCATTGTCTCGTGTAAACGGAGTTATAAGCGTTTGAAGTTTCCGAATTTTGTCCGACTTCTGGTATTAACGCGGTCCGTTGTGCGACGGCAGGAGGCGCAGGACCCGCGGAAGCGGGGAACCTCGCCGCGCCGCGCTCCCGCGCAGGAACCGCGCAAGTGCACCGGGATCCGCGCGCGAGATGCGCGGCTCTTGCTCGGCGAGGTGGAGTGGGAGATGTGGCGCAGCGGGCAGTGGGTCGTGGCCATGAGAGCTGGAACCTCGCCGGTGGTGCCGGTTCGAACGTGGACCCCCGTTGGAATCGTTGGGTAATGGGGTTTGTCGTGCACCGAGCGGCAACTGGGATCCTCGCTGCTGCTCAGCTTTCAAAAATCAACTTTTCACCCTCGCGAGGCCAGGACAGCCTCTTCTAGCGTGGAGCCACGCGCGAAGAGCGTCGGATTTTTTCCCGACAAGTGATGAGAAGAATGTTTTTTCGAGGATATGGATTCGATCGACATGGATCCATCGAAAAAACGATCGCCAGCCCTGAAATTTATAGACAAAGCTATAGACAAAGAAGTCATAGTGTGTATGGAGCTATCCCACGAATCGATCGATAACCCCATGACGAACCCGTGAATCGATCGAAGTTTCTCGATCGAGTCTCTGTCCATCAGTTCACATTTCTATTTTTCGATCGATTAATGTCGATCGAATCCATACCCCCTCCCTCCCCGCAAAAACCCAGCAGCGGGCTGATTTTTGAAATCGTGAACGGAGCTATGGGCAAAGAAGATCTAGAGAGTATGGAGCTATCCTATTGGTTGAAATGGGTGGTTCCGACAGGGTAAAGGAGAAAATGATGGATTAACTATCGGGTCTCTCGTGGGTTCACGTCAGCTAGACTATTACCTACCTCGTTTGTCCATTGCAACCTTCTCATCTCTTTTGTCTTCCATGTCTTTAGCTTTGTCTATCAATTTCAATAATCGGCCCTCAGTCGATGGCGCGACACGACAAAGCGGCGACATAGAGTCGATATAGTTTCAATAATCGCCCCGCAGAACCGAAAGCACTACCCTAGACGGAGATAGAACTTCCACCAATCTCTTCGCGACCTGGGGAAACTTGTACTTTCGAGGCCTCACTACTCAATCCCCGAAATTACCTCCTGTAGAGCCTCGCGGAACATGTTGAGCGAATTGAATAGCGAGCCAGCCGATGTTCGGTAAACTGGTTGGGCATTACTTCATTACCCATCTCTCAACAGTAAACAAGGATAGATTACGACCCTTTGGTGTCCTTCAAAAATGTCGAGCCTCGGCATTGAAAGCTTTCACCTGTTGCCAAGAGACTAGTGGAGGGTCTTGGTCTCTGGTCTCTTTTGTGTCTGTGACGATGAGTTAGATCTAACTGGTCGGGCCTTTTTGTCACAATGGATCCAGGGGAATATTGCACGGGTTCCTACGAGAACCCATTGGGGATTGGCCCAGGTTCCCATGGGTGAGTCTGAGGGAACCATCCAGGAACCTTGTTTAGGTCATTCTGGTTACTCCATGCGTTCCTGTTGGTCTCTTCATTGAACCCTCAAGTGGACCTATGAGTTCCAATGGGTCCTCATGAAAGCCCCTTGGGTGATGCCATGGTCCCCGTAAGACCCTTTTGACAGGACTAAGAACCAATACTGCGCGAGCTTCGTCCTACGTCAGAGCTCACGCGCCAATGACGAGGGGACACCGGTGACGTTGCGGTGAACTCGAAGCCGAGCGAACAATCGCGTGGTGGAGGTGCGTTGCGGCCGGCTTGGACCCGGCTTCGGCATCGTTGTTGGCGGCGGCGGCGGTGGTGGTGGGTGCGGGGGGAGGCGGGGCGGAGGATGGTTCGATCGCTCTCCGAGCTCCCCGTTGCCACATCCCGGACGATTTATCCCGGCCCGCTCCTCGGGGCCCCACCGTGCTGTCAGACAGCGCTCGATGAGGAGCTCATAAGTAGGGGTCCCACTCTGTTGTATTGCCGAAAGTCGAGGAGCAAGAACAGCCCGCACTGGAAAGGGAAGGACCGAGGCATCCTGAATTTCCCGAGAGTACCTTTATAGACAGAGTATGGCCATTTCTGTGCCGGTTTTTCATTGGTCGCGT